ATAAAAGGATATTCAACTTTCGTTGAATATGCTATACTAGAATAAATTTAAATAAACAAAAATATTTAAGGGGCAAAGTGAGATTTGTTCAATGCACAAGGGCAGCATATAAATTTAATCAGCGCATTTAAATATATAGTATACTAGGTATTTAAATTAAAAAATATTTATTTAAATACAAAAATTAATTTATTTTTTAAAATTTACAAATACAAAATTTACATAAATTTTGTGATAGTGAACTAAAATAAAAATAACAAATTTTGTATTGATAAATATCTTTTCTTTTTTTTTAAATTAAACTTTTGCATTTGTAAATAAAAAAAGAAAAATATTGTAAAAATATATGTACACTTAATTATCATCTTTTATGTTTAACACAAATATACGTTTGATTACAAGTTTCATTTTTGATCTTTTTTTCAGCAAATTTAGTTTACCAATAATATTTTTAATTTATTTAATATAAAAACATTAGCAACTTATTTCAAAGTTTATCACTTATCATTTATTAATATGCAAAGATATTTGTAACTTTCCTAACTTAAAATAACCAGTAAAAATATAAATAAAAAGTTTTTGAATAATAAGAATAAATTAAAAAAAAAAATTTATTAAATATACATACATAAAAATCTAAACTTAGATAAAACATAGATAAAAACGTAAATTAAAAATTTTTTTTTTAAATTGACGTCAGCAAGATCGTTCATTCAAAAGTTAAAAAAGTTTTATTAACTTTTGAATGAACGATCTTGCTTTTTAATGACAACACTTTTTTTCACATGAAAAAAAAAATTAATTAACTTAAATTATTTCTTTGCCCTGTGTACTAACTATGTTTTCTACGTGTCTAGCGTAACACTTAGAATCTGAGCCCAATATAAGTTTTTTTTTCTTTCAACTATAATCTTTTGAACTTTTGGGAATTTTAAATCAATTGAGAATTCAGCATTATATGCAGTGTTACCAGGCTAGCACCTGGGATGTCAGGAAAAGTGTTGTCATTAAATTCAAGAGTTGAATTAAAGAAAAACTTGCATAGTTCTTTTTTTAAATTAAGAAAGATAATAAGATCAGACCTAAATGAAGTCTCAAGAGCCTAACTTCTGAGATAATATATTCTTATATGTTTATATAACTTAAATAATTATTGTACATAAATGTGATCTAAAATTCAACTATTTATTTCAAGTAAAGATCTGTTTTGTATACAAAAAAAAATTAAAGGTTTACATGAGAAAAATACTTTAAAACACCAGCTCCAGCTCTAAACATAATCAAAGTTAGTTTATTAAAAAAAAAATTATATTTTTGTTGCAATTTTTTTTAAATATAATTATTTGATCTTCTTTTATTATAATAAAAAAAAAAATTTATAAAAATATATCAAAAACTTATTTTATCAGTATAAAGTAAGAACTAATGATGAACTTTATGTTTAGGTTTATGTGTTAACAAAGGTTTTCCCTGATTGCTAAAAATTGAATTAGGAAACTCGTTAAATATTAAATTCATTTTTAGTTTCTTTAATTTATTGAAAGAAAAAAAATAAAAATAAAACAAAAACAAAACAAACAATTAATCTGATTAATAAATTGGGATTTCCCCTTTTACATTCTTAAACTTCCCATTTTACAAAACAAGAGGAAAAAAATTAAAGTGAAAAATCCTTTCTGATCTTTATAAATTTGCTATATAAAAATAATGAGTTAAAATCCTATTTAGGTAATTTAACAGTTAATGACCTTTATTCGGACAATAGTTGATCATTATACGTTTCACTAAAACAATTGTTAACAAAAACCAAATTTAAGCAGCTTGATTTGAACATTAATCAATCTTTATATTATGAACTAAAATAATTCTTAAGATGAGCAAATTATATTAAACAACTATATATATATATATATATATATATATATATATATATATATATATATATATATATATATATATATATATATATATATATATATATATATATATATATATATATATATATATATATATATATATATATATAGCATTTATATAACTGATAAAACATTTATATAATTTTTAAACAGCTTTATTTTTTTCATGTCTAAAAATGCAATTAACTTGTTACAAGCTGTGATACCAATAGACATATAGTACCAATGCTTCTTTTTTCATGACTGACTAGGATCAATTGTTTTCAATAAAAACAAACAATTCACACTCTAACCAAATAAAAGTAAAAATAGTAATTGAGTAGGTGCAAAAAAAATTAGCTGTGATAAAGTAATTATATATAAAATAAAATTAACTAATTATTAACTTGTAAATAACAAAATCAGATGGCAAATAGTTCCTAAGAAAACTGAAACTATGCTTAAAAGCTATTAAAAGAGCTTTAACAATTAAAAAAACTAATATTCTTTAGATTTTCAAAGGTAGTAAATAAACTATCCCTTAAGTTTCTAAATATAAAACTTTATATTTCTTTATATTTCAAAACAGTCTTCAAATATATTCTAATGCAAGCATTAGAATATATTTGAAGACCTTTTTTAAGTGCGACAATGAGTTCATTTTACATGAGAAATTCATTAAGTTTATAATAGTGGTATTTAAAAAATTATAATATTATAATTTTTTATTTCTTTTTAGCAAGTTAAATTTATTTTTAAATAACTTAGCACCTCTTTTATTTAAATAATTGTTGTTTTAATTGTTAATTGTTGTAATGGTTGATGTCATTATTTGACAAATGCAGCATTTATTACAAGCATGTATGCTTGAAATAAGCAAGCCTATATAAAATATACTTATATATATTACAAAAATACAGTTCTTGCTATGTCTGAATTAGCAAAATTTATATAAGAAAAATAATTTGTTTAAATACCAGGTTCCAGTATTTAATGCACAGAAATTTTCTTATAAAGTCAATTTATAAAACAAAATTTAATAATAAAATGAATTTTAATTAATATTTTGAACATTATTCAGAATATTAAAATAATCACATGCATATGCACAATACTCAGATATTCCAACAAAAGTATAAATCAAAATTATCAATGTTTTAGTGTAGTTTTTTGATTTTTCTTTAGTTCATTTTAAAAAAATATATTTTTGCTAGAGTTTTCAATTACCTCCGAGATAAATTATCAGAAAACAAACTAATTATCAAAATATATAGTATATAGGTATTTTTAGGTATATATAAAAATATAATGCTAAGTTTGATTGCTTTTAAATTTATTTAAAATACTTTTAAAAGTAAAGCTTATTTAATAATCAAGTTTTATTTTTTTGGCTGGACATTTTGCTAATTTGAATCTATAAGGTTTTTTTTTCTATTTTTCTTTTTACTTTGCTAGTAATCAAGTTTGTAATCGTACTCTAACGTTGTATTAAAAATACGCAAAAAACCTACAATAAACTTGTTTAAATAACACAAATGCTAGTACTCAGCTAATTTATAAAAAATTATTTAAATAAATTTTAATTGTAAACCTAATAAAAATTTATGCTATTCACAACAAAATTGTTGAAAAATAATTACATACTTTAAACTTTTAGTCTTACAAAGTTAAATTTTTTTTCCACTCGCTGACTGTTATAAATAGAATATAATCGATAACTACAACACCATAAATACAATTATCAGAAAACATATTCAAATATTTACATCTTATAATTAGTTAGTTTTTATATATATATATAATTTTTTTTTTTTTTTTTAATATCTTTGCTTCCTAATTAGTGGTGGAAATTACTGGAAGAGAAAAGATTGTAGAGCAAGATAGCGATTGACAGACGACTTGAAAGATTGCAAATTATATGAATCAGGAAAGCAAGATGAAGGAAACGAATTTTAAAGAACTGATGTTTGAGGAAAAAAACTAGACAAATAAGAGTTTTTGGAGCACTTAGGAACAGTAACAAAAAAAGGATGAGACATGAGAGTGAATTTTAGTAGATGGCACAAGAAACGCTAGCTCTTTAGAGCAGTGCCCATTATAGTATTTGTAGAAAAGAGAAAGAGAAGCAACATTACGACGATGTGATAATGGTTAAATGTTGGCTGCAAAAGCAGGTCCAACTATGTTTACAATGCATTTTTGCACCTTGTCTAAAAGAGAAAGAGCATCATTAGAAGATCTGCCCCAGATATGGCAACAGTATTCCATACAAGACCGGATTTGAGATTTATAGAGATAGAGAATAGAATCCAGAGTAAGAAAGTGTCGAGCTCGATAAAGAGATGCAACTTTAGTAGATGCTAATTTGAAACAGATTTGATATATGGTTTCCAAGAAAGATCAGAAGTAAGAGTTAATCCTAGAAGATGAAGGATAGATGACTCATCAAGAACATTACTGTTCATAAATATAGAAAGATCTAAATTATTGCGATAATATATTAATAATATTAATATATTAATAATATAAATAAATTTTTTATTAATATATATACAGCCCTCAGAATAAGAATCGAAATGCCGACCTAACTGCCGATCTAAAATTGTTTGAGGTCAGCAAAAAATTGACAACCTTGTTTTTAACTTCTGAAGTACTTATACTACAGAGATTATGTACCATATTAAAATTGAATCGAAGTATAATAGCTTTGAAAATTATAGCAGAATTTTTTTATTTTAAAACTTACATTTTAATATTTATGTATATATAGTGTGATTTGTCAAAAAACTTTGATTTAAAGCATAAACTAGTACTAAAAATGCAACTATATTTTAAATAAATTTTAAACCAGTATATATTGCTATATTATTAACAAAATAAAAGTTAATACTATTAATTGGTTTAAACTAATACTTAAAATGCTACACAATGTTAAAATAAAATTAAAAAAAATTGTTTAAACATAGTTAATACATTGCTTTTTTCTTACAAAAATCAAATCTTACTTACATGTAACATAAGTATTTAAGCAATAAACCTACACTGCAAAATTTTAAATTCTTACAACATAAACTTCTTCTTCATGTATGAAACTAAACAACTTACTCTTCAGCTTCATAACTTTTTTCTGGAGCAACATAAGTGCTAGGAATGTAACCTTCTGAATTTGTAATTAAAGACCTTGCATACCACCAGTCTCCATCTGCAGTATTTATTATCTGAAGTCTTTCACCTTTTTTAAAACTTAAATCTTCACTTATTCTTGCTTCGTAATCATAAAGTGCGACAAATATAGTTACACCAGGCCCACCTAACATTGGAGGGTTTATATTTGGTGGCTGGTTATGGCTAACATGCATGATATTATTAGTGTTTTGGGAAAATGGAGAAGTATTTTCTTTAAGAACGACATCTTTAGACTTGGATTTATCTGGTTGATTGTTTAATGCTTTTGTTTGTTTACTACAGCACGGACCCATTATTATTATTAAAAAATTTACTCAAAAACTGCTATTATTCTAAAAATGCTAATATTACTTCGGGCTCCATTTAAATTAAGTAATTTTGACAAATCTCCATACGATATATACTCCCATGTTCAAATAAAAATTTGTCGATATGCATATGATGGCGAAAAATAACGGAGAATAAATTTACTTTATTACTCATGTATTAGACGCTTATGTTATTCTTTTAAACGTCATTTGACATAAAAACGTTTGCCATTGCTACTGATTTGACCAAGTATCAACACTTATATAACTATTTTCTTGAATAAAGTTTGCCTTTGATAAAGAATACAGTAAAGATACAAGAAGAACAATCCTAGTATATACTAAATTATTTAATTTTTGCAGCTTTAACTTCACAAATACAATATTCTACAATCAAAAATAAATAATTATATATTGGTTAAAACAACTTCTTAAGTAGCACAATTTAATGAATTAATTTAATGCATAATGTGCCTAACGTATTTTTACTGCTAAGTCAAAGGAGTGTTCGAGTTAGCCGCCGTTTTAGAATATGTTTAGCTGCCTATTATGCCTTTAGCGTTGGATATACACAACGTTTTCGGCTGTACGTCGTTCCGCTGTTTTATGGTTTATTCTTGTTTTATGTTAGTGAAAAGTATTAGACGCTAAGTTAAACTAACTAAGTATTGACTTTGGCATTGCGTTAACAAATGATAAACTGCTTATCGAGCCAACGTTGATTTCGTGTATGCTAAATGTTGTTGGCAACACGTTGGCCTACTTTTGATACTTAATTGTAGATGTTTCTTTGGCTGAATGAAGTGCTATGATAGGCATTATGTATACTTTACTAGGTTGTGTATTTGCTAATAAGAAAATAATTTACAATCGTAATTTATTAAAATATATATTTAAATGACTGAGGCTAGAAAAAGACAAAGTAAGCCTTATCACCTAGTCCAAAAAAAAGTATTCTCAAACATATAAAATGTTGTAATAATGTACAACAAATATAATACATGACTTTCAGCAAAATTAGTAATACAAAGACAACGGTTTATACCTTGAGGCACCATGTTTTAAAAGGCAACATAATGGGTTAGAAATCTGACTTAGAACCAAGAGACCTCGGTTAAATGGCGACTCTAGCGAGAGAAGTGATATTGTTTTTTGCAGTTTCGCTAGAAAACCAAAAAAAAATCATGTTCATTAAAGCTTACAAGTTGTACTGCTCTCCTTACAAAATGACTCTTTCTGAAAATCTAGTCAATCAGCTAATTGACTACATTTTCAACTAGCTATTAGATTTCTTTATAAAGTTTCTTCAAAAAGTCCTAATCATTTTTTCACAGCTGCGGAAGAGAATTTAACTAGAAAGTTCACCCATTTTTCCATACCATTGTCGCGATATAGCCAGAGCTGACATTGAATTTCAAATGGTTCGTTACCACTACACCACGGTTGCTTATATGAGACTAATCACTGTTTTTATTTATTTGTTAGTTTTTGGGTTTTTTAATTTCCTCCGGTTATTAGCCATATTGACGCCCACTTTGTATAAATAGAAGGAGGTAACCCTAAAAAAAAAATTGGTACAACTAATTTATTGGGTATTGTGGTTTTACTAAAAAAACATGTAAAATTTGACTTTGCACTTTTTAGGACAACGCTTTTCAATTTCTTTCTTTGTACAAAAGAAGTTTTTTTAAGAAAAAAAAAGGGGGAGATTAATAAAGATGATTATATTTAAACTAAGCTAAGTTTAGTTTTGATTTCTAAATTAAAGCAAAAAAGCTGTGCTAAACTTTTTTTTTTTTTTTTTTTTTTAGTTGATTAAGGTACCTTAAAAGTCCTTACGGTCTTATCACAGAGCATTTAATAGGAAGTTTACGCCTCCTTCCCAACCGATGTCGCAAAACTCGCCCAGAAGTGGGGTTTGAACCACGGATCTAACGTTTCTGAGGCAACTTACTAAATGAATAGTATCTACAAAATCTTAACGAAACTTTATTTTACAAGAAATACACCGAAACAGAAATAAACCAAAGCTTTGTGTATATTAGTACAATATTGAAACCGAAACCGACATTTGCTAAACTCTTACCGAAACTGAAACCGAAATTTCAGCGAAAGAAAATTAATTTCTTTTGTTGAAAAATTCTAGGTAAAAAATTTCCGCAAACTTTCCGGGAAATTATGCTAAAATTTCCGGAAACTTTTAAAAAAATTTTATATTGGAATAAACTTTTAAAGTTTTATTAAATTTATTTCTTTGTTTCAAAAATATGCAACTATCATCGTATTTAGGTATTCTTTAAATACTAACTGACCCGATATATATATATATATATATATATATATATATATATATATATATATATATATATATATATATATATATATATATATATACATATATATATATATATATATATATATATATATATATATATATATATATATATATATATATATATATATATATATATATATATATATATATATATATATATATATATATATATATATATATATATATATATATATATATATATATCTTAGCTTTTCAGACACATACAATAGAGGTTTTTATCAAACATATTATTTCGATACTTATCTATTCCACACTTATCAATTATATACCTTCTTGTGCATGAAATTTTTAAAGCGTTTGATGAAAAAAAATTTACTTTAGGTGTTTTTATTGATCTGAGCAAAGCGTTTGATACCGTAGATCATAATATTCTTCTTTATAAACTTAAAAATTATGGTATCATAAATTCTAACTTAGGCTGGTTTAAGAGTTATTTAAAGAATAGGAAACAATGCATTTTATATGATGGCGAGAAAACAGACTTGATGACAATTACCTGCGGAGTCCCCCAAGGATCAATTCTAGAACCGCTTTTATTTCTCATTTATATAAATGATTTGAGTAAATTTTCCAATATCTTAAATTCAATTTTATTTGCTGACGATACCAACGTATTTTATTCAAGTAAAGATATTAATTTTTTATTTACAACAGTGAACAAGGAGCTTGTGAGACTAAGCGAATGGTTTATATCAAATAAATTGTCCATAAATATTAAAAAAACAAAATATACTTTCTTCCATCGTCTTCATGATAAAGACAACATACCCTTACAACTTCCTAAGCTTTTTATTAATAACTCTTATGTCAAAAGAGAGAGTTCTTTGTTGTTTCTAGGCGTTGTTTTAGATGAAAACGTAACATGGAAGGAGCACATACGAATAATCCAAAATAAAATTTCGAAAAATATAGGCCTTTTATACAAAGCAAAACAGTTGTTGAACCAAACTTGTTTGAAACTTATTTACTTTTCTTTTATTCATTGCTATCTAAATTACGCTAACGTTGCTTGGTGCAGCACTAATGTATCTAAAAATAAAGGGCTTCTAATTAAACAAAAACACGCTCTAAGAATTATTGGAAATGTGACTCGCTTTTCGCACACTAAATTACTTTTAAATAAATTCAAAATACTTAACGTATTTCAACTTAACCTATATCATATTTTTATATTTTTATATATTCAACCAAAAAAATATTATTCTGCGACTAAGTTCTCGATAGCAATCAGAGGACCTAAATTATGGAACACCCTATTGGATAATGAGTTTAAAAAAATTTCTTCCCTTGCTCAATTTAAAATAAAAATAAAAAGTAAACTTTTGATAATTGACTATGAACTTGACTTCTTCTGAAACTTTTAAATAGGAGTAAGTAAATCACTTGTTTTTTACTTGATATTTAATTTATTTTTAACATATTAACTTTTGATTTTAATTTGAATCTTTATCTTCTTAAATTATCATGTTTTATCTCATTTTTATTTACTATTAAAATTTGAAATCCTAATAAAAAAAATTTAAAAAAATATTAAATTTTAATGAAAAATATTTAGATATTTGTATTTATATATGTACCTTACGCATATATTATATTGTGATAACGGATTTTTTTGGTTTTTTGGTTTTTTGTTTTGTTTGTTACTTATATTCTTGTTTGAAGGGGCTTGGCGATAAGACTGACTTTGTCTTCTTCTTGCCCCAGCCATGTATATACAGTTTTTAAAGTCTAATTTTGTAAATATTTTCTTTATGGCGAAATATATATTATATATTATATATATTAAATATACCTATTCCTTTTTTACCTCAATATTTTTTAGTAAAACAATTCGTTCTGAAAAATTTCTTTAAGAGTAAAAAAATTAAAATGCACACCTTTTTCATATACGTAGAGTTTTTAAGAGATTTATAACTAGTTTTGTTTTTTTTCTAAATGCATATCATTGATAGCTCAGTGGTTTAGTGAACTGTCATAAATATCATTTCGGGGGGTTTGAGACCTCTCCTTAGCATATTTAATTTTGAAATTTTTTTAACCTTGTGTATATATTTATAGCAAAAAATAATTACATTAGTAATTGTAAATATTACATTACAAACGTGATAACTACTACAAATAAACATTATAAAAATATTACATTAGTAATAAATAAATAATTTTTGGCCGAAACCGATACCGTAACAGAATTTCGGTCAAAATTTTGTTTCAGTTTTGGATTTTTTTTCTTTCTCAGAATTAAGAGTTCTGAGGTTCGTTGTTGGCTCATACCAGATAAGCGATATTGGTAAGGAAGGATAACCTCCTAGTTAAATTGCTCTTCTACGGTGATTTGTGATAAGGTGCTTGGTCCTTCTGAAGCACCTTTGTGCTTAGTCCTTCTGAAGCACCTTTGTGATAAGGTGCTTAGTCTTTCTAGTATTAGTATTCAATTTATTCGAAAAAACTTTTGTAGTTATCGGCTTCGACTAAATCGACCGAAAGTCGACTAGTCGCAAGTCAAAATTAATCGACTTTGAAAAATTGAATAGTCGATTTAATCGATTATGGTATCGATAAAAGTCGATTTTGTCGAGTAATAATCTTAAAATTCTTAAACCTTATTATTCGTTTTAATTTTTCAATTTTTAATTTTATTTGTTTATTTATTTTTTATTATTTATTTTATTTACACAGCAAACAGTTCAGGAGTTTTGTTGACAA